TGTTACTAAACCAAACATATTCTGCAATTCCAATCAATGAAAAATTTGAAGTGCTAATTGCCATAATATAAATGTCTAAAAGAATTTTCCCAAAATCAGTTTCACTAACATAGAGGTCTAGTTAAAGTATCAGCAATATATTAAATGCAAGTTTTCAAAACTTCTGACATATTTTCTTTTGTTAGGAAATGGGTAAGCTGAGTTGAAATTTCAAAAGAACTCACAAGTTAGCAAAAATAAAGTTAGGTGAAGAAACAGTAAGTTTTGGGTGTAGTCTAAATGGACTAGTCTAAATGTTGTGTAACATGAAGGCAGGGTGAACTGCAACACTTTTCAGTAAATGGTTCTCTCTAGTTCTATGTCTCTAGAAACTTCCATGGATTGAGAAATTTAAAATATTCTTACCAGTGTAGTTTTTTACTCTATCCAATATAGTTTATTATTGAATAACACTTAAAGCAAATGAAAGAAACATTTTCATGAATATATTTTAGATGACATTTCAATTTTTAAAGATTGGTTATGTTTATTGTCAAGATATTATCAAGTTTCCAAGTGAACAAACCCTTACATCTTTATCACCGTATTGTTTAGACTGACTAACCATATCTACATAACCCCTCACTGACAAAAGCTCTTATCAGATGATACTGAAGAGGACAGCAGGTGGCTTGGCAATTAAGGTGCTAGACTCTCACATGGCTGACCACAGCTGAAGTGCTGGACCTGGTGACTTGCTTTCTCACTTTCCCTTTCTCTCTCTCTGTTTCTGTCTGGTCAGATTAAAAAATAATAACAAATAATATTAAATACATAAATTTTTCTTAAAAAAAAAAGAGATGGTGCTCAAAATGTAAAGCCAAAATCTTAAACAAGAATGATGACAACAAATATTATAGAGTATGTTTTAACTACTGGGGTTTCTATTAATTATATTACTCAAATAGCCTTTTATCCAGGATAGTCCTCAATTTAAATTATTTTTGAGTTTCTTATTTGCTAAGATTATCCAGATTGTGTTACATATAACTTACTTTGCCATTTGAAAGACTACATTATTTTACTTTAAGTTTATTATTTATTTATTTCATAAGTAAAAGAGATAGTCAGAGACCACAATCTGGACAGGGTCTCAATGCTATGATCCAGTCTAACTCAACCTCGGACTGGGAGCATTCAATGTGCCTGACTCAGTCAGGGAGGTCTCTGAGGTGTGAATCCAGAACATTGTCATGTTTCGGATCCCAAAGACCACCCTGGCTTCTCATTATGCCACTATGTGGACCCTAGACTAATTTATTTTAAATAAGATGTGCATAATTATAAACAAATCCTTGATATTGTTATCATAAAATGAAACATGGTAAAACTCTACAGCATATTTTGTTGTATTTTAACGCTATTATTTAAAGTATTGAAAGTAATTATTATTTTTAATTAAAAATTAAAGGAGTATTTTAGTATTTTTATTTATTCTAATAAAGGTAAACATATACTAAAATTCATTAACATTTTAAGGTAAATCTAAACATGATATTTTAAATTATGACCATATTTTTTTATCTTTATATTTATTTCCTCCATCTTTCAGTGTATCCCTTAGCTCTCTATCAAGTATAAGCAAACATAAAAATAAGAGAAAACAAGGTCATAAAGGGTTCATGACTAACTGGGAAAGTATTAATAGATGTATGAAAAATTACTCTTAATTAAAAAAAAATTTTCATTAAAGGCATCATGTGTATTCTTCATTGATTTTTTTCTTATATGTTAAAAAAAAGGAATCATGACTGTATTTAAGCATTTTTTTTCAAAACACAAAGTACATTTTTAACACGTCCATACACCTGGTTTTAAATAACAGTGATTTCTTGTTGTTTTTAATATTTCTATACCTGTATAGAAATGAAAACTTCTTGGCATAGACAATGATCTCATTTGTACTTTTAAGCATATCACCCTTTTCCTGTCATTATTGTAAAAAAGGCAGTGGTAGCTTCATTGACTTTTTTAGAGCTTTACAAAAATAACTAAATATACAGTTACTTTTCTCAATGTCGAAGTGTACCTTCTGTTCCTTATAAAACTAAATGCATGTTTAGCAAAAGAAAAACTGCAACCTCAATAAGTATTTAAACATTCTGATTAAAAACAAGTAATTATTGTCCATTTTTAGGTTCTTTAATTAAGTAAGAGATATGCTTTGTAATAAAGAAGAGGAGAATATTTTCATTCCTG